CTTCTCCGATGGGCCCCCTGGTTTTTTTTGCTGACCGTCGAATTTGTTGTGTCCCCTATCTCTCTCTGCCTCAGTGGCGTGCGACCATCCTTCTTTTTTCCTCTCCGCCTCCCTCCTTGCACTCCCTTTTCCGCCCCCGTAGCGGATGAACCGCGCGTCGTGGGAGCCAAGGAATCTTGCTCCCGCCCTGGTGCTGCTGCGACGCCGAGGGTGGAGGCTAGCCAAGCACATCTTCTTGGGGTTTTGCCGAGTCCAGGCGGGCGGGCAAGGCCGTGTGCAGACGCGGGGATCTCGCCCTTCCTCGGCTCCCTGCTCACCCGCTCCCCCGGGGCTCGCCCTCCTGGCGGCGGTCTCCTGCGTGCTCCTCCTCCTCCGTTCTTCCCTGCCTCCTCCTCGTCCTCCTCCTCCTCCTCCTCCTCCTCCTCCTCCTCCTCCTCTTCCTCCTCCTCCCCTCCCTCCTCCCCCCCCTCCTCCTCCTCCTTCTCCTCCTTCTCCGTTGTTCCCCCCCTCCGCTGGTCTCTCTCTCTTTCCCGCCCCCGGCTCTTAGCGCCGCGGCGTCCGGCCTGGAGCCGCCTTATCGAGCGAGCCGCCGCTCCAGTCGCACCGCGGCGTCAAGCCCGGATGCCCCACGGGGGGCGAGCGGCCCCTGCAGGGGCAGGGATCGGGGGGTCCAAGGCCGCTCGCAGCTGCACCACCCCTGGAGGGCTCGCCGAGTGCCGAGGCCGCAGCTCAAGAGACGGGGGCCAGTGCAACCGGAGGATCCTGCAGGGTCAGGGGTGCACCGACCCTGGTTTGGGTGCAGGATCCTGCGGGATGCTGCAAGGCCCGACTGACCTGGGTTTGCATTGGAAAGGGCCCCGCGCCAGAGCGACGCGCCGCTCCAGGAGTGGGGGCAGGAGCTGCGCGGGGGGGCCCATTTCGCAGGAGTGGCCCCATCTGCCAGGCCTCGCGCAGGGGGGTCCGAGTAACGGTGGGGTCCGTGCGGTTGTTGGTGCGGCCCCAGCGCTCTTCCAAACCGATGCGCATTCGATGGTTTCCGGTTCCGATTCCGTTCGGCTTGGGCTTCCGATCTGGGTTCCGATGTCTCAGCGCGGGCCTCACATGGTCTGCCGACTTCTGCCGATCCGACTTCTCCCGACTTGGCTGCCGATTCTGGCCGCTACGCTCCACTTCTCGGTCGCCGATCCAACTGCTCGACTCGATCTGGCCCCCCCTGCCTGCTCCCGCGGGCCGGCCCCTGGGCCAGGCCACGGCCCCCGGAGGCCGAGATCGGCCCACACACCCCTCGCCGTGCTCTTGCTCTCAGAGGCTGAGCGCGCTCCGCCGCCCGCGGGCCCCCCCCCCTGCTCTGGGCTCGCCCGCCCACCCGTGCCTCCAAAGACTCGCGCCCCGGGCGCGTCCCGCCGCAGCGTTGGCCGCAGCCTTGGCCCCCTCGGGCCGCCGCTCACGGAGCCAGCCTATTTGCTGCGCTCGGCGCGGGCAGTGCCCGGGCCCGCCGTGCCTCGCACGCGGGCCTGCGCCGAGGCCGGGCCGGGCAGCCTCCGGGCCGCCTCCTCTTCCCTGCGGGCGCGGCCCGTTGCTGCTCCTCGGCTCCCCGCGGAGGAGCCGCCCCGGCGGGCCGGGCCTCCAGCCCAGGCACCTTCGTCGTCCAAGGCGGGGTTGTGCCCATGCGGCCGGGAGCTTCTTTGGACAGCGTGTCGCTCCGCAGGTCCTGGCCCACCGCGCTTCGGCGCGACAGGCTCGCCACGTCCCCCTGCCGTGGCCGCGGCGTGGCGAGCTGCTGAGCGGTCAGCTGCGCTCCCGGAGGCGGCGAGGCTGCGAGGGCGGGGTCGCCAGGCTGGGCCAGAGGCCCCCCCCCTCGGCGGTTATGGTATCATGCCTCGGGGCTGCGCCGCCGCCTCGCACTGCTCTCGATGCCTCCGCCCCGAGGCGCGACCCCTTTAGGGTGCAACTCCTGGGAGATTCGATTCAGAATCGGAACTGGTGCTTCCGTCGTCGAAAACTGGTCAAATCCAGCGCATTCCCATCCCGTTGAATCCGACCTTACCTTGGGCTTCGCCCAGCCCTATCTGTCTCAGTGACAGAATCGGGCTTGATAACCTTTCAAATCTTTCCGGCGAAGACCTCCACGAAGTGGCCTCCTCAGACTTCACCTCGTCCGCCCCCAGCGCCTGTGGCCCCGGCGCTCCTCCAACTGGTGGAGCTGTGCGCCAGGGCTGGCTACATGGCTGGGCGCCCGCCTCCCAGGGGGGGGCGGCGAGTAGACCCTGTGCCCCGCGGGTCCGCCATCACAAGCCCCCCAGGGCGAACTGAGCAACGGACCTCCGCCTTCCCCCCTCCCTCCCCTTCCAAGAAGAACAGGCTGAGTAAACATACCCGTTCGGGATTCCGCGCCGATCTGCGATAGTTTTGTTCTTCCTCCATACCTCCGTCGCCCCTCATCCCCATGCCCCTTCTCCCTACTCCCTCCTTCTTTCACCTCCCCGCCACCTTCTCCCGGTCGTCGTCGCCGTCGTTCTCATCGTCGTTGTCCTCCTCAGGTCCTCCTGCCGCCGCCGCCGCCGCCGTCGCCTCGGTCGCTGACGTCGTCGTCGTCGTCGTCGTCGCTGCCGCCGCCGCCGTGGCCGCCGCCGCCGCCGTCGCTCCAGGCAGCACGGGACTGCCCGGGAATAGCCAGAGATCTCGCAATATTTGAAACGAAGACGACGACGGTGACGACGACAATGACGACGACGGCGATAGCGACGACGACGTCGACGACGTCGACGACGTCGGCGACGACGACGACGGCCACGGCGACGGCGACGACAGCGACGGCGACTGCGGCGGTGGCGGCGACGACGACGGCGTCGGCGGCGGTGGCGGCGACTGCTCGAGGCTCGGCTCTTCTTCCACCTCAGGCGCCTGCTCGCCGCCCTGGCGCGCCCTCTTCCCCCCCCCGCCACAGCCCCTCTGCGTTGGGATCCGCGGACTGTCGCCGCCGCCGACCTCGCCGAACCGCCGCCCGCCGACGCGGCCGCCGCCCGCCGCCGCCGCCGCCGCCGCCAGCTACGCCATCGTCATCGTCGTCGCCGCCGTGGCCGATGCCGTCGCCACCACAGCTGCCGCGACGTTCGCCATCGTCAACGCCGCCGCCGAAGCCGAAGCCGTGGCCGCCGCCGCCGCAGCCGCCCCTTCGCCGCCCGCCGCCGCCGCGCCCGAGCGCTCGAGTGCCCTCGAGGGCCTGCGCCCTCCAGGGCTCCTGGGCTCGCCCCTTGCGGCGCCCTCCTTCGGGCTCACGGGGGCCCCCTGAGGACACAGGACGACCGTGGTCGCCGCCGTCGCCGTCGCGTGGTCGCCGCCGCCGCCGCCGCCGCCGCCGCCGCCGCCGCCGCCGCCGCCGCCGCCGCCGTCGTCGTCGTCGTCGTCGTCGTCGTCGTCGTCGTCGTCGTCGTCGTCGTCGTCGTCGTCGTCGTCGTCGTCGTCGTCGTCGTCGTCGTCGTCTCTCCCCCTTGCCTCCCTGCTCAGAATGACGACTTCGTGAGCCGAAAAGACAGAGGCGAAGCCGTGTGAACTTGAAACGACAGAAAGGGCCAGAGCACTAGCAGCAGCAATGGCTAAGTCTAGCAGCAGCAATGGTTCCCAGAGCGTGCCTCTGAGGGCAAGGGATGAAGGGAGGGAGGAGGGCGTACGACGAGGAAGAGTAAGAGGAAACGGAGGAGGAGGAGGAGGAGGAGGAGGAGGAGGAGGAGGAGGAGGAGGAGGAGGAGGAGGAGAGGGGGAGGAGGAGGAGGAGGAGGAGGAGGAGGAGGAGGAGGAGAGAGAGAGAGGTCGTGCGGGGCACGCGGCGCCGCGCCGTCGCGTCGGCGACGCCGGCATGGACGTTCAATGATTTTGGTTCGCTCAGGTACAGTGAAAGCCCATGGTATGTAGTGCCTCACGCGCCAGTATTGCATCCTTGCCTCGTCGGCCCACCAGTAGTCATGTAATCTAGAGTTGCTTCCAGGGGGATGTCCAAGGGCCTTGCGCCTTGCGTCCTCACCTTGCGCCCTCACTATGGTTTTTGACTCTACGGTGGCACGCCGTTCCCTCAAAATAGATATGTCTGGACACGCTGAGCCCGTCTCACTTCAACTGCCGATTTGGCTTCCTTTCACCTTCCTTGTTTTCCAGGGGCGGGCCGACATCCAATCCACCCTAACTGCCCTCCTACTTCCTGTTTGCGTACGCTGACCTCTGTCGAGTGGTCCGCACTCCTCCCCCCTGGACCGTTGCCGTCTGGCAGCCTCGCGCTGCGTCGACGCGGCGGCGATGATGCCGGCGCGGGCGTTCAGCGTATCACCGAGCGCGTTCCGCTACTCGCAAAGTGCCTACTCGCAAACGTCCGAACGAAAGCACGTCTTCCCATATGCAATGGATCGTACATCCTCCGCGGCGGATCCGGGCCATTTGCGAGCACATTACTTTGCGGGTCGTGGAACGCGCTTGTTTGAGGTAGTGAGCTCCCGCCCGTTTTCGGGCCCAGGGCCTCCCGCAGGACACCGCCCGTTTCGCGGTGCCCACGCGACAGAGGATGGGCCGAGAGCCCCTGGAGCTTCTCCGAGAGCGGAGGCCCTGCGGGGTCGGATGCATCACGCGGTGCCCGTGGACCGTGGCCAAGTCGTGTGGCCACGGCTGGGCCCCTTTTTGTTCGCCCGTTGCCGCAGCGTGCTGCCGTGGCTCGTTGCCACCACGTGCTCCGAGCTCATGAGTGCAGGTCGATTGGGGGATCGACTACAGAATTCCTGGTCCAAAACTGATGTTTCCCGTCGGGTCTACGAGCAGCGCGTAGGACTTATCCAACGTGCTACGCATGTTGCGTAGTCTCGGCGAGGGAATCAAGTTTGGGGTCAGTCGATTCTGTAGTCGATCCCTCATTCGAGCAGTGATGATCCAGGGGATAGTGCCAGGCCAGAGCAACAATCGGGGACAATTTGGGGGAGAGCAAGATGGTAATGTTCTCCCCCCCCGCCGTGTCGTGTAGCCGTTTGTGGCTCAGGCGGTCGGTATCCGCCTCCGCGCCCGACAACAATTCGGCACGCGCTTGCATATGGAAAGCAGGTAACGGTATACTCCCAGTCCCCAGCAGTGCTAATGGTGTCTTGCCAGGTCGCCTTGGCTGTTGTGAATCGAAAACGCTTCGCGTTGTGCGACCGGCCCCTCGTTGATGGATTCGCGGCTTGGGAGCCATGGGGTGGAGGCGACGTTCGCCTGGCGCCGGCAAACGACGACGGTGACCCCGTCCCCCGTGGTGTCGGCAAACGACGGCGGCGACCGGCGACAGGGGGGGAGCGGGGGTCTTGGCCCCCCGACCACGCCTCCTTGCGCGGGGGGGGCCCCCTTAGCGCCGGAGGAAGGGGAGGGGGAGGGAGGCGGGAGGTCTGTGTGGAAGCGGGGAGGGGGTCCAGTTCGCCGGGTGCTTGGAATCAATGTTGGGGGTCAGCGGGGGGGGGGGGCCGGCTTTCGACGTGTCGTGGAATACTTTGCATGCCCGTGAACCTCGCTGGCCCCCTTGTCTCTTATCCCAGCTGCAGCGGACTCTTCCGAGCGCCCAGTTTGTGCAATCTTACGGTAGGTTCGTGCAGCGTTGACGCGGCGGCGACCCTGGCAAAGTTTCAAAGTTGAACGCTATTGGTGACCCTGAATCCGCCGATGCCGAACGATTTGCGCTATCGGGAAGCCGCGATCGTTCAAGATGTGTGCTTTCGTTGTGTTTCCCAAATCCTCTTGTATTGTTGGGGATCTTTGCTTTCAATCCGCAGCGCCACGCGTCTCCTCCCTCCTCCTCCCCCTCCTCCCCCCCTCCGCCTCCTCCTCCTCCTCCTTTTCCTCACCTTCCTCCTCCTCCTCGTCCTCCTTCTCCTCCTCCTCCTCCTCCTCCTCCTCCTCCTCCTCCCCATCCTCCTCCTCCTCCTCCTCCCCATCCTCCTCCCCCTCCTCCTCCTCCTCCTCCCCCTCCTCCTCCTCCTCCTCCTCCTCCTCTTCCTCGTCATTCCCCTCCTCCGCTCCTCCCCCGCCCATTCCAGCCCCCCCCTCGCAGGGACCGTGCTGCCCCACTGGGAGCTCCACCTGCGGCCCCAGCGGGAGGTGCCTGCGTGCCGAGGCGCGCCCCACTTTCGCGCACCCCTCGCGCGGCTCGTGGCCCGCCTGGAGGTGCTCGCATGCCGCGTCGCCCCCACTGTGGCACGCCCTTCACGCGGATCGCGCCCCACTGGGGAGGTCGGGGTGCTCCATTTCGGCACACCCCTCGCGCGGATCGTGTCACACAGGGAGCTTCATCCACGGTCCCAGTTGGAGAGTCCGCGTGCCGCGGCGCGCCCATGTCGGCACACCCTTACGTGGATCGTGCCCCACAGGGAGCTCCACGTACGGCTGCAGTGGGAGAGTCCGCATGCCGCGTCGCGCCCATTTCGGCACACCCCTGACGTAGATCGTGCCCAATTGGGAGCTTCACCTATGTCCCCGGAGGGAAGTTCGTATCCCGCTGCGCGAACCTTCGCGCGGAACGTGCCCCACAGGGAGCTCCACCTAGGGCTCCAGTGGGCGCGAACGCATGCCGCCCCCCGCGCATTTCCGTGTACCCTTCATCCGTTTCGTGCCCCCAGAAGCAGCTCCACCTACGGCCTTAGTTCGAACTCCCACACACGCCCCCCCCCCCCCATTTCGGTACGCCTATCATACGGATCGTGGCCCACATGGAGCCGCATCTACGGCACCAGCGGGCGCGCTTGCATCCCGCCCCCCGAAATGTCCGCACACCTTCGCACCGATCTTGCCACCATACCCCGCCAGGAGCTTCACATCCGGCCCCAGTGAATGCCCTCAAATACCGCCCCCTGCCCATTTCGGCACAGCTCTCTTGCGAATCATGGCCCACAGGGTCTTCAGCGCGCCTGTGCGTGCTTGCTTGCTCCGCAGCCCCTGTCCGCACTGCCCCGCGGTGCGCATCATGTGAAGGGAAGTCCACGCTCTGCGCTACACGTAAGTGCATAGGGTTGGCCCCTTCGCCAAGCCAATGTTGCTTTTCCCTGAGCAGTGCTTGCACTAATTGGAAGGGTTCTAACTTGGGTCACCGAAATACTTGGACGGGTGTGGCGGGGTTTCTTTCGCCCAGTGCCCCATTGGTCCCTGGCTGGTGCCCGCCTGTTCGAGAAAGGGATCGACTACATCATTGATTTACCCCAGATTGGCTTTACTGCCGGATCAACGAAGAATACGTCGAATGCTCCGTAGATAGATTGAGCACTCTTATGTGTTGTTCGTGGATTCGACGGAAAATCAATCTTGGGTGCATCAGTTTTGTCGTCGATCCCCTGCTCGACCTGTGGGCGCGTCGTGGGTGCCTCATGGCGCTGGGTGGGGTGCGGCTGGTTTTCGCCCTGTGGCGAGCTTCGCGCCGGCCCGTGGGCGCCTCGTGGGCGCCACGTGTGCTGCCTGGTCGGGGCGGGGTTCTGCCGGTTGCTCGCTCGTGGCTGCCTGGGCGAGGAGCCTCGTGGGCACCACGTGTGCTGCCTGGGCGCCTCGTGGGCGCCACGTGTGCTGCCTGGGCGAGGTGCCTGAGGGCACCACGTGAGCGAACGTGGACGACAAGCACCACCGCCCAGCAAACCACCCCAACACAGCCCGGAGGCCCCGACCTGCCCTCCATTTACAGTGTGTGGGGGTGTCGTGGAACATTAAAAAAGACAACACATGAAGCTCGTACCCCCCTAATAGCCCGAAGTCCCGAAATTCAGGTCTTCGGGTTGGGGTGGTCTGGTAGGTAGTCACAGTATTACACCACTAAACTTACACCACATAACTTATACAGCATGTCATATGCACACACACATGTGTCATAGGAGGAAAATGTACCCATACCGCCAGCCTTCGCCCGTTTTCACCTTGTTGGGCCTCCTGGGAGGCCCTCGTCGCCACTGCTGGATTCGCCTCGAAATCCTGGTCAGAACGAACCCCCGGACAGGTCCGGGGAGTAGCGGTATCGCTACCTTTCGGTTTCCCCAATTCGGACATAGTTGTAAGCACACCTCTTTCACCACACACCTTACACCACAACACCACAAGGGCCTGGCCCACACAACATCCACCACGTAGCTTCCGCAGCGTAACTCTCCGCCGCATGGACTGCACATAGATTTCATGCCACGTAGCCTGCACTACAGAGCTTAGACCACGTATCATTTAAACCATCGTATATGTCACCAGCCAACACCACACCTCTTGCGCAACACGGCTTGCACCACACTGCTTGCATTATTTAGCGCACACCAGATGTATTCCGTCACATCGCGTGCACTACATACATGGCTCTTTATGTCTCTTGGGACATAGCTTACACAACGTAGCTTGTACCACACACTTTATACCACATATGTCACATAGATGTTTCCACACAGCCTGCACCACATAATTCGTTTGCACCGCATAGCTTGTAGTGCGTACCATCCGCCACAGAGTCTGCACCATATGATCACATAGCTTGCCGTCTTTGCCGTTCTCTCTTGGGCCTCGTTTGGTATTTCTTGGGGCCCTCCTGGACCGTCTTGAGAAGGGTTAGTTTGTTCCGTTGTGGGGCCTTCTGATGGCCCTGCTGATCACGCCTTTAGCTATCTTGGGTCGGAATTGTATGGGAAGTAAAATCAATTGGCTTTCTGAGACTTCTCTTGGGGACCCTTGCGGGCTCGTGGGGTCTCCCGTGCGCTGCTCGGGCGCTCTCGTGGGGCTCGTCGGGCCCGCTGGCGTCGTCTGCGCATCCTCTCGGGCATTCTTGGTAGCGTCCTGGAACACTTTTCGGAAGTTGAGACGCTCAGAGCCGTTTCTGCGTTCATGACCCCTCCTGCCACCCCACTACTCCTCCAAACTGGCAGTTTCGCCCCCCTTTGCCGAGGGGTTCGGAGAGGGGCAAACATCTCACCCGCCGATTCCCAAGGAGTTAGCGCGTTCTGGGCCAGGGGGGTCGCCCGTTCTGTCACACCTGCACCTCCATTGCTGAACAATGATCTCATCACTCCTGCGAACAGGTAGGTGCAGCAGACTTTCAAGCGTGAATCTTGGAAACCTTTCAAACGGAACCTCCATGTCAGCCAATTTGTAGGAAGCCCGAGGCGCACACTGACACAGACTCAGACGCAGACACAGACGCAGACACAGACACACACACAGACACACACACACACACACACACGCACACACACACACACACGCAAACGCACACGCACACGCAGATACACCACAGACACACACACACCACACACACACACCACACATACCACAGACACACAGACACACAGACACGCAGACACCCAGCCACACAGCAACACAGCCATTCAGACACACAGACACACAGACACACAGACACATATACACAGACTCACAGACACACAAACTCACAGACACACACAGCCATTCAGACACACAGACACACACAGACACACAGACACAGACACAGACACAGAGACACACAGACACACAGACACAGACACACAGGCACAGACATACAGACACACAGAAACGCACACGCACACGCACACGCAGACGCACACGCACGCGCGCACGCACACGCACACGCACACGCACACGCACACGCACACGCACACGCACACGCACACGCACACGCACACGCACACGCACACGCACACGCACACGCACACACACACACACGCACACGCACACGCACTCGCACACGCACACGCACACGCACACACACACACACACACACACACGCACGCACACGCACTCGCACACGCACACGCACTCGCACACGCACACGCACACGTACGCGCACGCGCACATGCACGCGCTTGCGCACGCAGACACACAGACACGCAGACACACAGACACACAAACAGACACACACACACTCTGTCACATGCTCAGGCACACACACACACACACGCACACGCCACCTGCGAAGGCAAGTCGGTCTCCGGTGGACTTTATTTTGATGGGCATTAATGTCCGTGGCGCGAGCCACGCGCCGGATCGCTGTGCTGCCAGTGGTGCTCCGCAGGCTCGGGGCGAGCCCCTGCGACCGGCCCTGCCGAGAGAGGCCTTGCAGAGCCTGGCCTTTGACGTTCAGGCGCTGCAGCTCGGCTTCCACGCGACGGAGGGCTTCGTCTGGGCAGAGGGCACGGAGCCCCGCCACCTCTGGGCAGAGGGCTCGGGCCGCACGCCCATGCCGACGAGCGCTCCCCGGACGAGGGCCCCGACGGACGCGCCCACGCCTGAGCCGACGAGCCAACCCCGGACATCGTGGGCGAAAAACATATCCGTGTCCGCGGCCTCGCGGGCCGGGCCCCTGGGCCGCGACCACGCGAATACGGGGCGTTTCTTCGCCGATGCCGCGCGCGAAACGTGCTCGTGCGGCAGCGTATCCGCGGGATCGCGCCCTAGAATCCAGACCGCGAGGGCGCGGAAGTGGAGACCCATGCCAAGAAACACCCTGCTTGCCTTCAGGGTGCCCTGGGCTCTTTGGGTTTCGATGGTTTTGCGATGGGGAACGTGACGTTCGCACACCAAAAACTAATGGATATCCTAGGGTCTCAGGATTGGGTTTCTTGTGGAAGGCTTCTTGTGATCGTGCTCTTACTGTGTGTTCGCCGCTCGTGAGGACACGGATGCCGACATCAGCGCCGACGCCCGCACCTCCGCCTCCTCCCCCAAGGACTCCAGCTCCCACGGACGCACCGACGCCCATGCCCACCGCCACCCCCCGCACGCGCATGCCGACGCCGGGGCCGACGCCAGCTCCGACGGCATCTCCAACGCCGACGCCTACGGCAGCACCAACGTCCGACGAGCCAACCGCCCGCCCGACCCCAGCCCCGACGGCAGCACCCACACCGCTGCCCACGACGCCGCGGCCGACGCCAGCTCAGACCGCCGCCATCGACACCCCTGTGGCGTCTCCGTCGGCATTCCCTTCGACGCCGTTCCCGCGGGGGGACCACGCGAGCTCGCAGAACGACCCGCACGTTTGCGCCCTGAGCGGCGAGTGCTTCGACATCCGGGCACCTTCCGCGTACACGCTGCTCCGTGTGCCAGCCGACGCGGAGGCCCCGGACATGCTCCGGTTGAGCGCCGACCTGGGCACCGACGGCGTGCGACCGTGCGGGCTGTTCATCAAGGGCCTCGCGCTGAGCGGCTCCTGGCTCGGCGAGCAGGTCGTTCGCGTCCGCCCCTACACGCGCGATGCCAGCGGCTCCAACTCGGCGGGTACCGCGGTGAGGACGAACTTCTCGCTGCAGGTGGGCGACTCGCCCTGGAGGTCCTTCACGCGCGAGGCCAGGAGGGAAAGAGACAGAGAGAGAGAGAGAGGCATAATCACGCGAGCCTGCGGAGGTCCGCGCGCTGCTCTTGCGTCGGCGCTTGCTCCCCGCATCCCCGCCCCTCCCCCGCCCCTCCCCCCCGGGGGTGTCCAGCGCCGACCCGAGCAACCCTCGCGGACCCCCGAAGGCTTGTTGCCGTGCAGGTGCTCTTGTTTCCCTCCCGAGGACTCCGGCAGGCAGCTCGCCGTCGCCGGCCGGGTCGCGATGCGCTTCGCGTGGCGGGAGGAGTACGGCCAGCGCATCGAGGCGCAGGCGCTGGAGTTCTCCGTGGGCGGCGAGGGCGGCCGGTCTGCGCTGCTCTCCGTCGCGCAGGCCTCGCACCAGGCCCTGAACCTCGACGTGTGGGGCCTGGGCCACCTGGGCCACGCCAGGATCGCCGGCGCTCTCGGCACCGAGGGGCACCCGGCCTCGGTGGAGGATCCGTGGGAGGGCGCCTGTGCACCGCCACTGTGTGCTGGCCAGGGCCATCTTGGGCCACAGGACGGCGAGCACGTCAGGTCCGCGCTGTGCCGACGCGGCGGCCACCCCGCCGTGGGCGTTCGGGGCTGGATGTCGTCAGCGGCCCTGAATCGGCCAACATGGAACGATCGGGCGATCGAGACGCCGCCGATCGTCCAGGTTTCAGCGATCCACGCGTTGTCAGAAACCAACGCCTGGGCCGTCACGACACGGACCTGCCTTAGGCCCTCCCGGCACTGGCCAGGAGGGCAGAACTCCGATGCTCTGGACCCGGGGGGGCGGGTTTTTCGTTCCGGAGCGTTTCCTCTTTCCTGGGGTCCAGCGCGAGCCCTCAGGTTCTGAGGACAACGAACAGCCCCTGTGCTGATTGCTGATTGTGTTGCATGTTGGGTGTCTTGGATGGGCGTGTGCCCCGTTCTGGGGCCCCCGGATGGCCCTGGCACAATGCGCGGCGGCGGTGTGCAGAGGTGCCTCCTTCTCCTCCCACTCCTTCCCCACCTCCTCCTCCTCCTCCTCCTCCTCCTCCTCCTCCTTCTCGTCGTCTTCTTCCTCCTCCTCCTCCTCCTCATCCTCCCTCCGTAGCCCTTCAGGATTGTGTGGCTGTCCCGACAGCAAGCGGATATCGCTGATCTACGGCTGTGCCAAGTCTGCTCAGCCTGACTGCTCTCCGCCAGCACTGTTCAGGCAAATTGTCTGCTTCCTCATACTGTAACGGGCTGTGGCAAATGTCCATATCATGGCAGCAGCGCGCAAGGACAATACTGCCGTTTGTGTCATGCCACCTGATACAGTTCCTCCTGACGATACTCCTGGTAGGTGTGCCAGTCGTGGTGCAGCAGAAGGCGGAGATGACGGTCCCCTCCTTGACGATGCTGATGACAAGTGCTAAGACGCACGCTTTCGGATCGTCGTCAGAGAGTGGTCATGGACAGCCTCAAGACCGCCATGCAATAACTCCAATCAATTATGGCTACTCAGCAGGCGAAGTGGTCAATACAGCGATCGATCCAGTACAACAAGATGTGACAGCCCTCCAACTTGCTTTGGGTGATGCACCCGAGGAGGCGTTTTCCGCTGCCCAGGCATCGCTCCTCGACCTCAGCCTCCTGGAGACGCGCATGTTGAAATATATCGGCGCGGTGGACGTCCGCATTCGAGAACGTGACCAACACATTAGCCAGCATGCGCAGGCCATCAGTTACATGCAGTAGCAGATGGAGGTTTCGCAGGGAGCTCGCCTTGGCCAAATGCTACTACCTGGCGTGTGCTTGGAGCGACTCTGGCCGAAACGAGATGGTGTGGAGACTCACTTTCTCCCATCGTTTCGGGATGTAGATCTCCAAGACCCATGGGAGTTGCATGGTGAGCCTCAAGGGAAGTCATTGGCTATTCTGTTTTATGGCCCTGCGGGGATTGTGTCGCGCAGTGTACATCTGACACCTGGAACGCTCATGGTCCCGAAAATCTGGATATATTTTTAATTGCTGGCAGCTGTCGAAGGCCATGCTCAAGTTCCCTCCAGTTCATCATTGGCTACATGCGTACTAGATCTGTACCGACATGCAAGAGGTGAAAGCTGTCCAGTTCATTATTGGCTATATGCGTACTAGATCCGTCCCGACATGCAATAGATAAAACTGTGGGTGCACTCAATGGTACATCTGTGGACAGGGAGTCAATGCTGGACAGGTCTAACGGAAGGGTGCCTCAGGGGTGGGTGTCGTTCCTCGAAGTCACCGGCCCGCAACATGGAAGGCACCCGACGAAGGTGCATTGGCAGATGCGGCGCTCCGTGGCACATGGTGGCCCAGGCGACAGGTTGATGACGTCATCCAGGGTATCGCGGCACCCGGCGCGGCTCCAGAGTGGTTTTTGTGACGCGTTCTTTTATCTGGTCTTTACAGCGTCCCCTGGTTGGCTGACTGTTCCGCCGTCGCCGGTATGATTCGGGACGCGTAATTCCAGAGTCTTATCGAGGTGGAGAGGGTTTAACCGATGGAGAGAGCAACGCGTCTTCAGTCAATGGCCACTCAGGCTTCCATCCGAGCGGCTCAAGAAAATCATCGGCCGCCCGGACAGCTCAAACTGTCCAGTCGTAAGATCTCCCGTTCCTGGGTGGTGCGTTGCTCGTGTTTCCATGGCGGTGCGCAGCGGGCCGGAGCTGGCGAAGCTATTGCGGTTTCTGCCGCTCGTGGGTCTGATGTTCAGGTCGCGTCTCGCGTATGAGCCACTGGGAAGGCGCTTCGTGCGACAATTCCAAATTGTTCTTCGGATGCCGGGCGCACCAATGCACGCGGCCACGAGCGCCCTCAGAGATAAGTCCAGGACGCTACTGCTGCGACCAACGCTGATTTATTATGCGGGCAAAAGGCGACCCGCAGCACCGCGTCACTGTCACTGGGGGCGGGGGCTGGGGGCGGGGTGGGATGGTTGGGGGTGGTTGGGGATGTTGCAGGGCATGGCTGAGGTGGTCTGCGAGGAGCCAGCCGCCTCTTTATGGTGGCGGCCAAGCTCGCATCGGTCGACCGTGTCTGAATTCTGGATATATGCCCCGTCGTGGTTTTCTGGCCATGTCGCTTTCTCATGCAATGTGGCTACCCGTCTTGCAGCCCGAACTGATGCTGGCATATCCAGTCATGCTGGCGTTCGAGCGGCGCTGAAACCTTGGTCGCGAACGCCGACAGGCGCGCTCCCTTTCCCGGGGGTGGTGTTCGAAAGAGTTGAGTTCCATTGGCCAGCGGACTGGCATCGAGCTCGAGCGCCTGGAGCAGATGGCACATTTCTTCGCCCCCCGAGGTTTGCGGAGTTGGCCCGCGAAGCTGGCGGCGCCGCGCTGAAGGCGGCACTGGCGCAAGACCCCGAGCCCATCGTGAGCCAGGCCACATTCGCTAGGCAGTTGGCCCATCGCAGCGCGGCGGTGCGATTGTGTTCTGGCGGCGAAGCTTTTCAGCTCCAACGAGACGCTGGGGACATGCTCTGTTGTCGATCTGATCAAGCCGAAAGCCTTCGTCGCGGATCTCGCGTAGTGTCGCTCGCGGGCGGGGGATGGGCGGGCAGCGCGTGCGCGCGCGTGGGAGGAGGCGGCTCGGGGCGGGGGCTGGGGCGGCGGTGGCGGCGGCGGGGGCGGGGGGTCATGGCGCCGAACCGAGAAGTTGATGGGCTCCAGAAAGACGAGGTCAAGCAAGTCCGGAATGCGGGCAGTCGCGGTCAGATCTCCGCCGTTGACGGACGCGCCCAACTCTGGGCACCTTCTGCCCATCAGTTGAGCGCCAGGGGCATTCTCGATGGAGGCCACGTCAGAGGCGGGCGAGCATGGCGAGATCAACGCGCAATCGCATTATTGGCCCCCCGTCCTGGCGGCAGCCCCTTGCGAGGGGGGCGCGCGCAGCCAGTGCTTGGACAACCCCATCACCCCGTGCAGGTCGACTTCGGTTGCCCCGCCATCCATGTCGTTCGCAGGCTGGCTCCGTCGAAGTCCGCTGCAGGTATTGATGGGCCCCCGCGCTGGGCCTGGACTGCGACGCCATGCGGTCGCGATTCGCTCCGGCCTGCTGCTTGCGCGCGGGCGACGTCAGGGCCCCCCGCCCTTCCCGCGCGAAGCAGGGGGCGCGTGCCCGGCTTTCCTCTCCAGGGGAATCCAATCGGGCGGCTTTGAGCTCGATGGCGCGGCGCGCAGCGCCATCGAAATTAGGGCGCTTGGATTGCGCAGCTCAGAAGTCAAATTATGTTCTGCTTACCTCGACGAGGAGATTGCCCCCGCTATCTCGCCGGCGGCTCGCGCGCCTGCGAAATGGTTACGTTCCGCGCGGTGCGCTCGCCGAGAACATCTCCGAACGTCCTGGTGCTGGTCTCCAACCCGATCCCCCAGTTGATGCCCCCGTGCTTGTCGGCGTCGGTTTCAGCCGGGCGTTTCCGTCGCTCGGCCCACGGTGCATCGCGATGTTTCTTGACGAGCTTAAACGTCCTTGTGCCCAACGCAAAGCGGTGAAACCGATGCGCGATTTTGTCGCGTTTGTCGCGGCCGCCCATGCAAACGTTGCCCAGCTTGGCCCCATCTTCCGTGGCTCGGCAAAAAAACGTGCACAGGGTGAGCAACGCGTTCGGCAACTCACCTGGCGGGTGCGTTCGCGCGTGTTCTAATGATCTTTGTGGTGTTCTACTCGACAGGCGCGGGCGCTGCCTGCCCCTTTCACTCGCGTTGGACGAGGACACGCGCGGCGCTCCCTCTCAAGTTCGCAGAGCGCCGCCAGCCCCCCCCCCTCATTTGAGACGCTCACTGAGGACGCGGTCGCGGACGCGAAGACGTTGCTAGTGGAGGAGTTGCCCGAGTGGAAGACCCTTCAGGGATCGGGCAAGCTCCGTTTGCCTCGGTTGTTGGAGCGACCCCAGTGCGTCGCCTCGCGCGTCGCGGGATGCGCCGCGACGCAAATCCTTTCGCGGGGTCGCCCTGGCGTGCGCTGCTGCTTCGATGCATGGCATCGCCCATCTCTACAACGCCAGAGCTGTCCCCGCGTTGCCTTGCGTTTGCCAGTTCTACGCCGCCCCACGTGTGATGCTGAAGAGGGAGGCCCACGAGTTAGTCGAGCTGCGTAGTTTCTCTGAGGGCGCATCGCGGCGCGCCAGTTCCGATTGCTTCAGAGTCTGGTTCGGCCCAATGTTGCGATCTGCCCGTGAGGTCTTTTAAATCATTGCGACGTAGCCTGCTGATGGCATGCGCGCGCGATTTCAGTTTATGTCGCGGCGGCTGCATAAAGCGACCGCTAGTTAGATCGACGAGAGGTTCGGGGAATTCGGTGGTGGACTTCTTCTCCTGTTTTGGAAGATTGAAACCGTTGTGGGGGCGCTCGGTTCTGCGGCCAAAGGACCGCCCCTCGCCTGCTGTTCTGATGGGTGGGGTTGTAGGCATCTCGCCGCCGCTTCTTTACTCGAATGTCGGTGCGCGGATTGTGAGATGGTCT